CTAACACATTTAAAGAATCCCATGAAATTTGGCAGTTCGGTAAACCGTTGTTAATCCAGACCCTAAGGGTATTAAGCTAATTTTTTATGTTTTTCGGTTAAAAATTTACGGGATAAAACGGCTTTGTAGAATATGGCAAAATTAGATATCGTAAAAAATAATGAAAATTCCGTTAACTATCCAAAAATGATACCTCTAACTCCATTTTCCCCGGAATTAATGGGTGATAGATCCAAGCTCCATAATCGACATTGAAAACCACAGACGGGGCTTTAATAAAAGCATAAAAGCCGTAGCAGAAGCAGATGATGATGTAGAACCAGGTTTTTGAGCCCTAAGTTAACATTAAATTATAAATTAGTATACAGTACCCAGGAAGAATTAAAATTTAGACGAAAATACCTTAAAAAGAGCCGTGGCAAATCGTGGGTGCCAAAAATCGATTAGCCGATTCATGACGAGCAATAGGGATAGTCCGCAAATCGTCGCGAAGCACCCTGAAAACCATAAACTTTGCTGAGGTTACATAATTAAAAATCTATAATCCTAATTTTTAAAAGAACTGACCAACAATCATGCAACCACTCAAATATTGTAGCATCGGATACATACAATATTCCGCTCCAATTAGATAGAAAAATCCAGAAATTTCCGAGCTGAATGTTGTGCAGACAAGGTCGAGGATTCCTTGAAAATTATAAGACTTTCGAAGGGCTTTCAAATAGTTTTTAATTTTAAATTAAATTAAATTTAAGCTTCAAAGCTAAAAATTTAAAATTTTAACTTTTCTCACCTAAACACATCATAATCTTGTAGCAGGATAGTTGTAGAAATTCTCGGGTGCAAATCACTGACAAAGCCAAGATGTAGCAGATCTAAACAGTAATGTTATAATTGGCTTTGTTTCCATACATTAACAATATTCATTAAAGGGGCCCAGAAATGCCATAAAGTGAGTGACGGCCTGAAAATCGGAGGCCTGGACGTCGGAGGCCTCTGTACACCCGGGGCCCGGGAAGCTCGCAAATTTGAAATAGCCTGTTGTCACCTCGATATCACGTTCTCGGCTGTTTCTGGGCCAAATTTGATGCTTAAAACACCAAACCGATTTAAAATTGAGTGAGGATTTCAAAAATGGGCACAGAATGCGCAAATCATAGTGTTTTCAGAAAGAAACCGGGCAAAAACAGTTTCGCGCAAAAAGCGAAAGAGTGAGTGCTCTGGTCCCGCAGCGCCTGCTGGCAATTTGCCAGAAATCAAAGAGCCCTCCCAAAAGGGCTTTGATTTGGAAGTTCGTAGCCCCTTTAACTCAATACTCACCTGGAAAAACAGCCCGAGAAAAATATACAAAAGCCCGAGTACGATCTTTGGCTCGTGCCGCATCCGCAGCTCGTTGTACGTGAGGTTGATTTTGCTGAAAATAAAGAATATAGATTTTTAGCATTTTTTCAGGTATTTTAAAGTTAATCCCTCTCAAAATTAAAACTTCTATACCTGCAACTCCACCGGGGATTTGCGTCCAACGAGCCGTAGGCCAATAACTCCTCCATTTCCTAGAAAAATTGGAATTTTCGGATGGTGTAGAAAATTCCTCTAACAAGACAAAGGAGTTGATCAACGAAAATTATACAATTACGAATTTAGTCAACGTCGAAGAATTTTTTGCCGCACTTTGATTCAATTCATGCCTTAGAATTTTTAAAAATTGTAAATTTTTGAATGAACTGGTAAATCAACTATTTTAAATTAGATTTCGGACTTTGACGCTTCTATTAAAAGCGTTTTTAAAAACAGTTCAGCGTAATTTTAAGAAGGAAATATCCATTTCCGCGACAGTGTAGTGAATTTGGAAGTAATCTTCTCTACTGCCTCTTCAAGAAATGGGAAATTGACAAAAGCTTGGCCTCCAACCGGAAATTGCCCTAGACGAAATCGATGAGACTCTAGCGAGTCAGGAAGCTGTAATTTGGCTCCATTAACATTTAGTATCCGGTGGGGCTGGGCAGTTAGCAGGGGGGGGGGGCTATTTTTCAGCCATCTTGGTAGCCGTATAAAGGTCCCACTAAAGTAGGGAATTTTCGAAAAGCGAGCCCAAAATGGAAATTACATGGGAAGGCGACGAGCGTCTAGCGAGCCAGCCCCAGCCAGACAATGACTGGCGTGCACCCCGTTTAACCCTAATGTGCCTGTGAACTTGGCCGGGCCCGATTTTCCCAAAACACGCGTTTTCCCCGGCAACACCATGTCCATTTTCACATGCAAATTGGGCAGAATTACTAAGAATATTTTTGCCCAACTCATACCCAGAAAACGTTTTAGGAAGGGAAATAGGTAATGGGAACGCAAAGATTATTTGCGGAACCGGGGAATGTGTCGTCCTTCCGAGATTTTATTAGTGCCCTTTATGCAAGAGTAAATTTAGCAAAAATAGGAAAAACAAAAATAATGATCACCTGTTATATTAGAGTAAGATTTGGCGTTTGCGTTTGAGCAAAGAACGATTTTGCGCTTGAATGATTATACTTTTAATAGAAAAAAAATCTGGCGTTCTCGCTTGTAAATAGTTTTCTTGCAATAGCCATTCAAAATTTGAAAGAAAAATGAGAGCTGCAAGTCTTTTTCAAAACCTAAAAAAACTCTGTGTATTATTGCAATTTTGATTTCGGAGCAACCGGAAATAACAGTGAATTTCTAAAGCTTTTAGGCCCTAGGTTTGCGTATTGGAATCAAACTTCTGAGATTTTCAAAGTGGTTTTTTTTTCATGTTCTGCAAGAGGACGGAAGCATCCTCAATTCCCCTGGGATATTTTGTTTCATTTAAGATATATTGCCACTCGGAAAATCAGGAAATCGTCTCTTACTAAGTTTAGATTGTCTCAACGTTCAACTGCAACTGCTGCAACCGGTCAAAAATCCTACTTCGAACTTCACTGGTTTTGTGAATATTTTTCAAAGTGTGAATTCACAATGGTGGGGTTACTTTGGGGGACGATACGGCGTTAAACTTTGCAAAAATGATTCGGCGAAAAAGCAGCTGCAAGGCATTTTTTATTAGTGCCTTTCACGCACTCTAATCGTTGATTGCTGATCAAAACACTATGTACACTTCATTAAAGGTGCGGAGAAGCCAAAACTATGGACTTTAACTAATTTTTAGTTTTAAATTCAGATGCGTTTGCGGACAATTTCTGCTGCTGTTCACTTGCTTTGAATTTAAAACTTTAGAAAAGTAGGGCCAGAATGACGTGTCTCGAAAATTCGTTTCATTAAAAGCGCGTTTCGAATTTAAAATATAAACGCTCAGGAAGCCTTTCTAAAAATCCGAGCTATGCAAATCCGCTTCCCAAACGGTACCTTGCCCACCGTATACCCGATGGATAAAGGCGAACAATAGGGATCAAAAACTGGAGCCTTCAATTCAGCACTGGGAGACAATAGTACAATAGCGTAGTTTCCGGCTGCCAATTCCGCTTTTGGCCTATTTGCGCGGCTCACGGGAGTACGCGTTGCTTTCTTGGGACCTTTATGCTTTATTCTCACGATATTCCACTTTTTGTACCTTGCTGGTACAGGCAGAATTAGCATCCGGAAATGCCCATTGTGTACCGAGAAAGGTAGGGAAGAACCCGGAAGTATCTGAGCTCCGAGGAATCACAAAAGTTTTTACCCAAATTCCTTACAAATCCCTAAATTCCGCAAAAACCTGTGCTAGCTTATCTTTTTCATTGCTTTTTAGAATTTAGAAAATAAGAACCAAACCTTTTTCATAAAAGTAAAAAATGAATCTTCGGATCGGAAGATCTATGGTACAAATCGCAGAATTGGATTCTATCAGCCCTTAACAACCACGTAAACTCTTAAAAAACGATACTAGCCTACCTCGCCCAGCCCTATTGGTTTTCCTTGTCTAAAGATGCAAAATCGACCTTTTTAAAAATGCTATAAAGCTTTTCGAATAGGACGAAGCGAAAAATCTAAAACTTGAAATTTCTTTGGCTGTTCCAAGCAGGAGATCATCTTCGAAAATTAATTGGTTCAACCTAGAGCTTCGAATGATTGCCAAATTCCAGCTGTCACTCATCTGCGCGGGCGCTCCAATTAGTTGTCGCAGCCGCCCTCGCATCTAATTTGGGCACGAAACTAGAAGAAAGCTGGGGCGGAAGTGTGAAATTTCGAGAACATGAAGCAGGGATCCTTCAATGAGCCTTAGAAAGAGGGGATACCCTGGAATTCGCTCTTTTTTGCATTGCTGAGTTTATTACCGGGCTGCGTTCGTCATCCGAGCTGTTCGAGGAATCCTCTATGAAAGGAACCTTTGCAATCGACCTTATCCTAACTTTAAGAAGTCAACTATGATCATTCTGGGCTTCCCAGTCCGCGGCTTCCCCTGGGTTGTAGCGCCGGAAGAAAAATTCCCCTACCCTGTAAGATAGTGCAATCACAAGACCAAGAGTTTGTGCCAAAAAAAAGGTAGTTCTTGGAGAAAAACCATCCATAATTCTTTCAGTCCCGGGAATCGAATGGCAGTTTCGTAATAGTCTCTACCGGATGAGTACCCGTTTCATTTTTCTCCAGAAGACGGTGGCTTTTCCAAACCGAGGATGCAATTCGAGAGTCTCAATTGTTGGTAAACTTTTCTGGCTTATCGTTTATATCGTTTTCTAAGCAATGCCCAATGCGGCTTTGTTGATTGCTGATTCTTGTCTAGCCCACAGGCTCCACGCATGGTGCCACACCCCGAAAAAGACCCCAAAGTTCGCGATATTCTTATCGCCAAGCGCGGATCCAAAACGAAATGTCAGAAGATCGCAAACGAATGATGCTTTTTTCAACAAAGGGAAGCGATTTAAGATTAAGAGCAAATTCGCGCAACAAAAAGCCAGGGACATTGAAAAAAACTCGAACTAACTTCTGTGATCCGCTCCCCAGACAAATGCAAATTGTGTTTGATTTACGCACTACTTCCAAGATTCTAAAACGCGCTTTCTCGTTTTTCTGAAATGAAAGGTCAGGCCGAGCAAAACCTTGAATTCCTCTTCGCGGTACGCTTTTTGAGTTTTATCGCTTGGCGCCTCCTCCGTGCTGACCCCCTGCCCTTCTTACCAGTATGAAAAACGACCCTAATAAGCCCCGATAGGCTTATCGAAACGGAAAAATTTGACAAAAACTGGTAGGTGGTCCCGACTGGGTGGTCTGGAGGGTAAATTGGGCTTCAGTTCGACTTTACCAGTCGATAAATTCCTACTAAAAGTTGCTTCTTCACCGCTCTCTTATGGAAGATACCATCACAGTCTTGGGGATTCCGGTTAGCACTTTTGGAGACTAATGCGGTGCACCTTACGGGGGCCTGAAGTACAAATTCGCGTTGGACTCTTAATAGATCATTAAATTTCCAGGTGCACCCCAGCGAACTCGAACGCATCGTTAGATCAATAGACGGAGTATCGGATTGTGTCGTCGTTGGAATTGAGCACGAGACCAAAGGGGAGGTAATACGGTAGCTAGCATGCATGCAAATATCCATGTGCACGTTAAAATGACCTTAATTGCATCTTCACCTCAAGTATCAAACAAGTAACAAATTGGATTGTTTCGTTCCAAGAAAAGAATCTCCAAAGGAATTTTTCAGGTTCCGCACGCTCTTGTGGTAAAGGGCAAGCAAGGGATCAACGATTGCAAAATCATGGCTCTCACAAATGGTTTGTTGATCTTAAGAAACACAACTTTTAGCATAGAAAATATGTATTCGTCTGGCATCTGAACTTTCAGGCCAGCTCCCGCGGCACAAACAGCTCGGCGGTGTGACTTTCATCCGGGTGATCCCCAGATCGTTGGACGGGGAAGTGTCGAGGAGCTTGCTAAAACAATTGTATTTTGGGCCTGGAAATCAATTGAGAGCAAAGATTTGAATAAATAAAATAACTGATGAACTGGAATAGCGCATTCACAGCTTTTTTGGGGTAGGCCAATGTTATTTAGCAATTTCAATGTGTCCTGTGAATATTTATAATGTGAAGCTTGGCTCAAATCTGTAAGTTACGCTAGGTAAACTTTAAAATGAGACCAAGGCTGAGTCTATCTTTAGCGGGTCATAAGCCTATTTTTAATTCCTTTACCTTAGAAGCATATGTATCGTTTCTCAATTCTTGATTTTTTTGTAAAGCTTTAGCGATGATCAGGCGAACCACTTTCGCAACAACGTAAAAACAAATAATTTGTGCTATATGAGAAATTGTGATCAAAAGTCGCACACACCGTTAGGGCAAGAATTAATTCGCTACGGGAAACGCGGCCTAGTGATCTCTCCAGCTTCATGATAGCTACAAGCACAGGGATCGGCTTGAAAAAAAGCTGTTTTATGCAGGCAATATAAAGCAAAAGTAAACCTGCATGCGAAAGCAAATGGCAAACGGAGTCTGTGGCTACATCTTGCAATTGGTATCAAGAACGTTCGAAAAACTTACATAATCAGGGGCAGTTTATAAATCCTGCGGCTGGTGTCGAAACAGTTGTCAAAAATATCAACAAAGTTCAAAGCCCAAAAGTACCAGTCGTGCTGTTGGCAAGTATCGGACCATGCAATAACGTATCATAAGTATTAGATCGTCACAAAAGTTTTGTCGGTTTTTGCTTCAACTCAATTTTCCGAAAGGCTTCCGGGCGTAAGAAGTTTTTTGAATATACCATTTTAAAGAGTGTCGAAAGCGCTAGCGAATCGTGAAGGTGGCATATTTTGTAGTGGTTCCTAGCGGATTTTAACAGGCTCGAAAGGTGGTTGCAAAATGACCATCTACTAGGGTTGTTTCTCGGAACAGGCCGAGATTCGGAACATTCGGACAGCAACCGTTCCGACTGTTCCGAATGTCGGAAAGTTCCGGGATTCGCGTGTTCCGGCTGTTCCGAGATTCGGAACATTCCGAGATTCAAATGTTGCGGTTGTTCCGAGATTCATAGTGTTTCGGCTGTTCCGAGATTCGGAACAGTCCGAGATTGAGCTGTTCAAATTTTTTCGCATGTAAATTTCCAAACACGACTGAATTTCGATTCGATTCGATCCTTAATTCGTTCTCATTTCCTTAATTTCCAGATCCGATATCTAACCATCGACGGAATTAAGTGTTCAGTTGCGCCCACACTGCCGTGTCACGGCAAAATCGAAACAGTTACGTGCAATCTACACAATTTACACGAAATCGAAATTTACATGCGAAAAAATTTGAATCTCGGAACAGCTCAATCTCGGACTGTTCCGAATCTCGGAACAGTCGGAACAGCCAAATCTCGGAACGTTCCGAATCTCGGAACAGCCGGAACACTATGAATCTCGGAACAACCGCAACATTTGAATCTCGGAATGTTCCGAATCTCGGAACAGCCGGAACACGCGAATCTCGGAACGTTCCGACCAGTCTTTGTTCCGAAAGTTCCGAATCTCGGTCTGTTCCGAGAAACATCCCTACCATCTACTATATATAAATTTCTAATGTCCGTGCGCCCGTGCGACCGGGAATTCAGCCAAACCCTGCATTCAATTTCAAAATTCAAATTGTGGGATGGGGGGACGCCAGGCGCTGAACCCCCGCGTAGCGTGGGATCAGCGCTGGTGTTTTCTCGTTTTTGCCAAAACTCGAATGAGAAGCCGCGGAAAGAGCTCGGTATATCGGAGTTCTATTGCACCCAAAAAACACTAATAAAATTCTGAAGGAAGTTGGAACACGGGCTTTGCTAGAAAAGGAATGAGCTCTCAAAGTTTTGAATTTCCGCGGATCTATTCGCCGTGCAACCAAAAATTCCAAAGTCGGGGAAGCATCCAAAAGACAAACTTTTGGTGAACTAAAACATTCAAAACAATTTACAAAGACCTAGGACGGATAGCTAGTCCAAAAACGCGATTTTGCTAAAATTTGGGCAAATTCCGAGCCGGAAACAGTTTCATTTACAGAGTCGAGCTCCGAAATCTATTGAGCTAGGAAGGCCAAACTTTTGCAGCGGATTCCCTCACGATGTGTCTCAATAGACATCACTTTCAAAAAAAAAAAATCAGGGCTCTCGTAATCGCTGAGAAATTCTTGGGGATATCACGGCTCGGCGGCACTAGGTCGCCATCGTTCCCATCCAGAAACCACGAATGTTCAGTAGCGGCGCAGTTACTCTCGTTCCCCGTTAGTACAAGTTTAGCACTTCTTATCATCCTTAGTTTATATGAAAATGTTTTGATTGGGCGGGTTATATAGCTTAGAAGTTGAAAGCCGAAAAACCGACAGAACTTTCTTGACGACCTAATAGCATTTTTCCACAACCCGGAAAAGATACCGGGCTCTCAACCGGCATCGGATCCGCTCTGCCCGTTCCCGAACGTGCAAAAATGGGATGAACACCGAGATCAAGCCATCATCAACTATTTTGCCTTGGCATAGATGAGAAATTCGACCAACACCCATTTCTGCAATTTTCCGATCCCATGTTGCCGCTTGGGAAATACACTCCAATTTTTTATCACCAGATACTCTGGGCTATAAGGAAGGACTTTTTCCTTTTGATCGTTAGTCCCGGAATTTCTTGTGACTTCTTGTTCCAATGTAGCCATATTTTTATATCTGGGCAACCAGGATGCGCGCAGCACCAGACGACAAGCCATAAAAGCGCGTCGCAACATGGGGGTTACCCGGGCTTATCAAGCTTTGAACCCGGTGGCTCTACGCACAAATGAGTGGCATTTTCATGAATCGTCAGCCGGATCTTTTTGAACGTTGTGTTTTGCTTTTAAGCTTGGAAGTTTCTGGATATCTCTTTAAAAACCAGTATAACCAGCTCTAACTTCTTATTTTTTGCAGGATGATCCTCCATTCAGAAGAAAAATACCTGCTCCCGACGTTATCTGTTCCACACCAACTTTTCGAAAGGATTTCGTATTTTGGTGAAAAATACCCAACTGCTATTGCTTTGGTAAACGCCGATTGTTAAGCGAAAATTATACTAATTTTTAGAGCGACGCCACCAATTACGACAACTTTTGGACGTATGCCGAGCTGAAAACACGATTATTGAAGACGGCCACTTTTCTCCGGAATGCTGGGTTTATGAAGGGAGATGTAAGATCTCCTTTACCTTTAGATACCTTTTGGAAGTACAGTTTGTTTTCGGAAATCATAGTAAATGGTAGCAACAACATTTTATAGGTCTGCGCGATCGCGATGCCAAACTGCTTCGAGTTCTTCAGCACCGCGTTGGGCGCTTGGTGTGCGGGGATGGTTGTCACTGGGATCAGCCCGGATTATACACATTGTAAGGTTAAACCCACATTTTAGGCCCTAAGGGAGTACCATCCGTTAATTAATTAATAGCACAAAATTTCATTCCGCCGTTTAGACGAAATGACCGAACAACTTGACGATTCTGGCGCCTCGATTGTATTTGCGACAGATCGAATTCTCAAAACAGTGCTAAAGGCTTCAGAACAATTGCCAAGAATAAGGGTATTACGACACCTAATTCTGTATAATTTGCTGTTTAGAAAATTGTCTCCGAAGGTGGCCTCAATCAATCGAAGATTCCGAAAATTTCCACTTTTCGTGAAATCTGGGATTTGAGCCCAAATTTTGATCCATATGGAATAAAGTATAACCTTCGCGAGGATCTTGTGACGATACCTTACAGGTAAGTAGTTTAATTTTTGGCTGCTAATTCACTTAAATTGATACGAGAAACTAGAATTATGCCACTCTTATAGCTCTGGAACGACGGGGAAGCCGAAGGGCGTAATGTGCACGCAGCTAAATCTGTCCTGCGTGCTGGAAAATATATCACAGTAAGACAGCAATAAAAAAAGTAATCCGACATCTAGATCAGTGAAAAAAGCCAGTGAAACTTATGGAAAAGGGTCTCAGGGCGACTTTTTCCTCCGAAAAGCCTATATCGCGCTTTTGCCGTTGTACCACGTGATGGGACTGCATGCGTACGTTTTGACAGCTCTTACTTTTCATAAAAACGTCAGTATCCACGTAATATTAATCCTTATGATAACCATAGCGTTTTAGTACCACTAGCCTACTATGTTTCGGGCAACACATCGTTGTTATGCCAAAATTCAATCTCAAAATCTACCTAAAAGCTATAGAAAAATTTCGGGTAGGTATTTGCAATATACATTATCGTAGCCGACTTTCACTCCAGTATCATCCTTTTATTCATTTAGGTAGAACGCCTCCTAATCGTGCCTACGATTTTGCAACGATTGGACGAATTCCCGACGCTGAAATCCTATGATTTGAGCTCGGTCAACACGATAATGGTCAGCGGTGGAGCCTCCTTACAGAAAACCAAGGAAAACGTCAAAAGGAAGCTGAATGTTCAGATCTTGCAAAGTAAGTTAACGTTAAACGTTATTTTTATGGTTTAAAACCCAGACAACAACATTCTTTTAGGCTATGGCATGAGCGAGGTGGCGTTGGGCGCTACGAAATCCCTGCCAGGCGATCCGCTCGGAGCTTCCGGGAAGTTACAGGCCAACATGGAATTGAAGGTATCGTTTTCTATCAACTATTCTATCCTTATGTTTTTCAGGTCATCGATTCAACAACCGGAGAAATCTGCGGGCCAATGGTAGAAGGCGAATTGAGGTTGCGGGGACCAACGATAATGAGAGGGTAATTTTCTATCTTTTTAGTTTGGAAAAATACAGGGGAAAGGATTAAGCCGATCGGGTAAATTATAAACCAGAACATCCGGAACTCAAGCCTTACAATCAATAAGAAGAATTTTCAGGTATCTGAACCGGCCGGAAGAGAGCGCCAGTTGTTTTGACGAGGATGGGTTTTTCAAAACAGGTAAGCCCGAGCAACAGCTATCTAAGACGAAATAGATATATCCAAATATAAAAAAGCTAAAACCCGATAAATGTACTTCTGCGGTATTTCATTAGTGCGCTGAACACAGTACAGGCCTTCCTAATGACACTAGCAACGGCCGCGCACTCTCTTCCCTGTTCGCCCCCCGGCTTCCGAATTTTCCCGTTTCTAAAGCTCTTTACTGTGGTTCTATTTTCATTTGCTAAATTTTTTGTAAGTATCTTTCCAGGAGATCGCGGCTACTTTGACCACAATGGTTATATTTATTTTGGCGACCGGCAAAAGGATTTGATCAAGGTGAACGGGCGCCAGGTACTAATTTGAAATTCTTTCCAAAATTTTTGATTTCTAGGTATCGCCGGCGGAATTAGAGGAGGTAATATTAGAAATTCCCGGAATCCGCGAATGCATGATTATTGGGATTCCGGATGAGAAAACAGGCGAGGTACGCTTTAGGATCATGCTTTTTTTTTAAAACTCGTACTTTAGTTGCCATACGCGTACGTTGTCTTAGACAACGGCTCTGATGTGACCGCTGATCAGATAGCTGCCTCACTAAATGGTAAGCTGCCGGTTCTTGAAAATCCATGATTTCCAGAGCGCGTCGCTCAGTACAAACGACTTGCCGGAGTCACGTTTCTCGCGGAAATCCCGAAAAACGCGATGGGAAAGAGCCTGCGGCGACTTCTGCGTGACTCTTACCTTGAGAACCTGAAGTATAACGAAGTTAGGGCAAAGCTATAAATTTGGTTGGGTCATTCGTGTGAATAGTAAACTTTGTGACTACACCAATATTGCCCAGATGTTCACCACTTCGTTGTTTTTACCGAGCAAGTTCTTGGGACTGCGCGCTCGGAAAAACTTTTCTTTGAGGTGAAACCTAATCTGCAGCTGCAGAACTTCCTGAAATACAGTTTGTCTTGGCTATTAGAAACGCTGCGTTCCGCTACCTTTTTTTGGGGGCGGGGGGGCAATGAAGAAGAGAATTTGGTACCCGAAATTAGCGCGTCCCCCGGGATCTAATATTTTTAGTGCGCCGATCGGGCAGAGCTCGATTTCAAGCGCTACAGCGTGGTCTGAGACTGCCCAGCCCAAGTTTTTGCGCGCAGCAAGAACATCCCGGTTCATTCGACCCGGAAATGCGCGTTATCCTTGATTAGAGCTTTTTATGTGTTTCCCTGGTATGTCCTCAGTGCGCCAGTGCTTACCTGAATTTAAGTTCATTTGAAGGTGAGCCCATTTCAGCTCGTAGCGTGTTTAACGCTTTTTCGGACTTACTTTTTGCGATTTACCTGGAAGATTAGGCCAACTAGTTCTCAGATAACGACTCTACTCAGATGACTCTAAAACTCGTGTTGTCGCTGGTGAGCTGAAAATACACTGGAACACATCGTTTCCGGTACCGCTGGGAACAGCAAAACGGGTTGTCTGAGAGCATAGACCGAAAATAAAGATGGTCAAACTACAGCATAGTCAGTCTTCGTTTTTGAAGATACGTTTGTCAATTTATTTAGTTCAAACCTTCAAAAGTCATTCGAGCGAGATGATGGAAAGGCGCGCTCCACACCGTTAAGCTAACTATGGTCAATTGCACTGTTGTGGAACTCGGCTGGTGTTCATTGAGTTTCAGAAAAACAACTTCTGCCGTTCCCGCGCGGCTTCTTAGGAAATCATCGCACTTCCCAGCATAATTCTACTGCTGAGAGTTTACCACAAAAATTTTCGAGGGCATCGAGTGGTTTGAAAAACTGTAAACACATCCTTATGGCCTTAGTATTGTTGGGATCTGTGCGGGGGACAGGGATCCCCCCCCGACCCCTCCCTTTATACTTTCGTTTCCTTTACAAGTTTTTGTTTTATTGGCATTAAGATTTCCTACCCTACTCGGTCTGAGTTGTTTTAAAATTTTCGGTACCAGGGCGGCTCCATAAAAATTGTCAGATCAGGATAAATTTAAGCAGAAAATTGGAAAAATAATGTTTAGGCAAAATGAGCTAAATAAATTTTTGTCGCTTAGTAAATCCGTTAGGCAAATGAACTGGATTTTGGCACACTGTACCAGTACGCAAAACTACGCAACAGCCCCGTACGAACCAAAAAAATAGAAATAACAATAATTCTTAGATGTTGGGTCCTTTTACACGGAGCCAATCAGCGATATGCCATTTTGAGCGAACAGGAACCGACAAATTCCACCCTTTACCCAGCCAGACCTGTAGCAACTCGCTTGATCATAACGGATACTAGTTAGCGCCCAAAAAAGCCGGGGCAAAAATACAATACCTAAAGTTCGGCATTTTTTGCAGTTCCTTTGCATCGATTTGTCGTTTTTTCAGTTTCTTGCAATCCTGTACGCCAATTTTTCCGTGTTCTTTTATCCGATAAGTTTAGCGACGTTTTCTGATGATGCCACTATAACAATTCACATGGTGCTATGTGGAATCGGCGGTTTTCTTAATATTCTAGCACTATATCTCATTGCTACCAACTCGTCGAATCTCGGCGGGAAATATTCGTATTTTCTCTTCAGTTTTTGCGTTTGTAGTCTCATTCTTTGTATGGTCGACTTTTTGATAGTGCCGGTAGGGGTCACAATCGTTCTTTTCTCAAAAAGTATGTTCTAGACCACGATCTCCGCTGATAAAACTTATCTAATCCTTGCTCAACGAACATTCTTCGGCCATGATGCTAGCACTTACATTTTATTACTGCTCTACCTCTTTGTGTTCTCACAAACTATCGTTTCGTTGATGCTGCAATTTTTGTACCGGTACTCTGTCGTTTGCAGGTAAGTAATATCATCTTGGGTAATATAATTTTTAGGAATTCACTACTGCCAACAATCCTGGGCGCACAAATTTTATACTCTGCATTTTTGCTTCGATCTCGATCTGGTAAGTCTTTTTCAAATGTATTGATGATCATATTTGAATTCCGGATTAGGTTTTTTTGCCTTTTGTATTTCATTCAAAGCCCGTTTTGAAACATTTTGACCGGCACGAAAATTGGCGTTCCCATCGCCACGTACTGTTTATCTACTTCAAAAATCAGAGCGGCTTGGGAGAGAAACATGCCTAATTTCCGTGTTAAATGTTTTTCGAAAAACATGAATCGGCGTGGGAAGAAAAACATGTTGGAGAGGGTTTTACGGGTTTGGAGAGTTCGGAAGATCTCTTAAGTGTGCGGAACGGATCTTGTGTGAACTTTGTCTAAAGACGAAGTGTTTGCAGCACGATCTGGACGCTCGATAATCATATCTTCACGGGTCCCCAAGCCGTCGATGAACATGTGTGGCCCATTTTGGAACGAGTATTTTATCAGCAATTTGAGAGGAACATTAGTGGCGTGACGTTTGTATCGCAGACATTTGAGGTTAGCGGCAAGACTAGCTTATTTTAGTCAGTTCATTTTAGTTTTGCTAGATGCAAGATTAGTTATGTGCGTGATTTTCCAGGCCCCAGAAGAAGACCACGTCTTCTTGGCTTACGTCTCGACGTTAACCGGCTTAAGCTTGCTGGTTATAACCTGGACTGTCATGATGGCATCGGGCTTGTCGATTTGTATTCAGAATCGACGCAAAAAAAACTGTTGCGAGTCAGCTTACGAAACATCTTCAAAGAGAGCTATTTCATGCGCTGGTGATACAGGTATGTCGCTAGCGTCTTTAGGTATCTTAATAAAGGGCAGACGTTTCGAAGTGGTCGTTATAATGTTGTGGTCACATTTTTTGAATGGTTTTTTGAGCGTTTTTCCTTCTACCTAAATCCGTTTGAAACCGCAGCTTCCGATTTCTCATTGGTGAAGTTCCTAGAGTAGAAGAACCCAGGGCGTACTCTCCAATTCCGATTTCCAAAAATACCGTAATCCGGTACATGCTTTCAGCTAATTATTCCGCTCGTGTGCAGTTATATCCCGCTGGGATCCGTTTTTCTATCAGCCATGTTGGGCTGGGACCTAGACATCTCATTTGCCTGTTTCTTGGTCATTTTGGACCCGATTCTGGAACCGCTCGCCATTATCTACCTCATTAAGTGCTACAGGTAACTTGTGATCTGTGATTTTTAGTTTACATTTTTTCAGAAGAGTGATCATCTACTGGTTGACCGGTAAGAAACCTGAGAGTATATTGACGGTCTCGCACCATTCTATCGAGTCGAGGCCCCGGAATCGGAGCCCGAGGGCTATGGCTGCAATATGAGGGGGGAATGGGCAACCATAGGATAAATATGAAATTTTGAGAAGCATGAAAGTGTTGTAAAGTGCGCCAAATTATATACAGCTTCATAGAATTGGCATGATAAATGACAGACAACGATGAAAACCTCATTCAAAATGACCGAGATTTCCACCGCACTTGTTTGTCTGCCTTAAAGCTTCAAACTCAAAACGAAACGCAGGTATCAATCGAAAGCTCTCAATGATACGAGTTTATATTTTTCTTAAGGAATGTGTAAATTTTAGCATTTTTGCTCATTTTTGTCGTTTGGAAACTAGGTTTATGCTCCGCACGGAGAAGAATTTGTTCAACTGGTTTTCAAAATCGTATCTTAGAAACCACGAAAATGGTACATTCTGGTTTTTACAAAAGAATCTTCACCGAAGAAAGCTCGGAACTTTAAACACAAAACAAAAGAAACTTAGAAATCAAAAATTCGAGATTCGATAGAACGGATTTTTCGCTTATTGACTGATAGCTAGATCGTGAAAATCGAACACTCCACCGGGTCACTATTAATACAGGGTGCCTTCTTCTATTTGTAAGACTTTAGTCATAACCGTGAAATTTTATATATTTTTTGAAAACGGGGACACAGTCCAATAGTATTCAGTATGGCGACCGATTTATGAGTTGTTGCTCATTTTTACTTTCTAATAAATAAGTTTAGGTGAGCTGAAGGTTCCTATACAAAAATTCCTACGCACTTTTCAAAGATCATCGTATCCTTGAGCCCAGCTCAAACAAACATGAGTAGTCAGCGTGATCCGCGTCTATTCCCTCAAAAATTAACTGCTTTCCGGCTGCAGTACAAACTGTGTGGGATGTTTTCGAGGAGCCGGTGGCTCTAGACAAGAGACAAAATCCCGTTCTTCTGATGTTTTCCGAGCAAATCTCAGAGCTCCTTCATACTATTCTATGTCCAATTGGATTTGTGTTAAATATACTGGCGCTTTACCTAATCGCTACGAAATCGAAGAACCTTGGCGGGAAATATCCCCATTTTCTGTTCACATTTTGTCTATGCAGCATAGGGCTGTCGGCTGTCGATTGTATTATTGCTCCGGTGAGGCATACGGCGTGCGTATGAACTTTGCCGTGGCGCAACACGCAACGCGGGAAACAGCGCTGTAAATGGCTTAATTAATTAACGCCTGCCGCGCCGCGGCACGCAACGCATGGAACAGGAATTCTCGGCGTAATCAAGTAATCTCTGGCGCATAGCGACACGCAACGTGTCGGAAAATCGATAAAATTATTTAATCAGACCTCTTCCGCATCGCGACACGCAACGCTTCAAAAAAGCATCTTAGATGGCGTAATTGAAGGGTTTCTGATTTAAAAAAAGCTCGATGGGTTAACAAAGATATATTCTCCATGTAGACCTCCGTTATATCCGGAAAAACCTACCTTCTCATCGCCCAGCGCCAAATCTTCGACATGTTCTGGCTGACCTACGTCTACTCTTAATTTACATCTACATTTTTGCTCAAATATTGGTGCTGCTGATGTTTCAGTTTGTGTATCGATACACAGTAGTTACGAGATAAGCAAGCCTTTTTACATGTTGCAGTCACGCAAAAACTTTCAGGGACTCCTTCCTCTCCAAAACTTCCGTTAAATTTAATACCATGCTGTGTGTGGTGATTTCCGTATTGATATGGTAATTTCGATGGCTCAAGCGTTTAATGACTCTTTAAAAGTTCGATGTGGACCGCTGATAACTACTTTTTTAATGGTGTTCAACACCACCGGCCACAAATTCAAGTCGTATTAAACGCAGTTTACCTTCAAAATTTTGGTGAACCGCTTCAACGAGTCGTTTTTGTGGGTCAGACGTTTGAGGTAAGTTTTGAACTCATCGGTCACTACTAAAAATGAGAAAAATGAGCAGCAAGCGCAAATTGTGCATAGATAGAACCAATATACATGTAATTTAGGGGGAAATCGCCAAATTGCCGACATTCAAATTGCCGACAAGCCAAATTGCCGACAGGCCAAATTGCCGACAGCCGAATTGCCGACATATTCGTGAATTTAAGTCCAAGTCTAAGCTTTGGTATATTTGAGTAGCATGACTGTTTAACATGCCAAATTTGGGTAGGGTCTGGCCGCGTGACAAAACCGAACCCGGGACGTTTGCTTGGTGCTAGCGCTTTTGACCACTAGACCAAGAGACAGACAGTGAAGGGGAAGCGGAGAAGGTATATGAAGCTTCCGGGGAAGAGCCCGCAGGCTACCGTCTCGTATGTTAATTGTGCTTAGAATCCACCGGAAATTCTCCCTGATATGAATGTCTACATAAAATTTCCATTCTAGCCCCAAATACTGTCTTTTGTATAATCTGTCGGCAACTTGGCTGTCGGCAATTTGGCTGTCGGCAATTTGGCTTGTCGGCAACTTGGCTGTCGGCAACTTGGCCTGTCGGCAACTTGGCTGTCGGCAACTTGGCTGTCGGCAATTTGGCTTGTCGGCAATTCGGCTGTCGGCAACTTGGCTGTCGGCAATTCGAATTTCGGCAATATGGCTGGAATTCAGCGGACTGTCGGTTCCCAAAATTACCGTAGATAGAGATGCCGAAGTTCAAAATGCCGACAAACCAAATTGTCGTCAATGAAAAACGCCACATTCAAAATGCCGATACACCCAAGTAGGAAATTGAAATTTACTTTGCTTCCAGCATAACGATGTAAGTTTCGGCGTTCTTGTCGTCGGCATTTTATCACCACGGTCTATCGGTGTTTATAATTTTGTTATTATTTGGACAGAAACAGGACTTGCCTTCACAAAACCAAAGATCTTAGATCCCCATACCTGTCATCACATCAAACGGAATTCGTTTCGGGAAAGCTTGTGCTATATGACTTTCCGAGAATCAAAATACCTTTTTTCCGAAATTCCGCCTTGATCCTCTGTACCAAATTCGGCCCCGCGTTCCCACGATGATTGAGGGCCGTTGTTCTGCGGAAATTTGAGGAAAGGAGCGGTGAGCAGTCCGTGAAAAATTTGTATCCGGGCCGGTAAGGGGGATATTTGAATTCCGGCAGATACGACAAATGCACCGAGCTTTGAACTATGTTTTCGGAATCTACTACTAAATTGTTGCATACTATATTATGCCCTTGTGGTATATTTCTGAATTTTATTGCTCTGTACTTGGTGTCGACGAAATCGACCAATCTGGGAAGTCGATATTCCTATCTGCTTTTTGGGTTCTGTCTTTGCAGTATGCTGCTGGCGATGGTGGACTTTTTGATAGTGCCGGTAGGGAAGCTTAAGAACTTATGTTTTGTATTACCATGCATTAAGAGAGCAATTTAACTAAGAAGCCGGAGAAGGCGCGATCATTCAGTTTAAACCATTTTAAACCTTTTCAAGATTTCTAAACGTTGTAGATATGAAAAGCGACAATTTCTTAGGAATAAGTTAAAGCAATAAATCTATTAAACGATGTAAAACACCATTGTATATGTTGTGCCATTTTTAGACAACGATCGCATCTGGGAAATCCTGGCTACTTCTGGCCCAGCGGAACGTCTTTGAAAGTCGTACGTTGACCTACGGCTTGCTAATGCTTTACTGCGGCTTATTCGCGCAGATTCTTGTCTTCTTAATGTTCCTATTCCTCTATCGATATTCTGCAGTTTACATGTAGGTTTAATAAAAACAAATTTAAAGCACTCCCTGAGCGTCTGCGCGGCCTAACGATGAAAAAACCATATACTTTCAGTAACTCGCGGCTTGCCCGAAATTCCTTCCAAAAGAACGTCGTGCTATCTTTGATAGTTTCATTCATATTCTGGTAAGTTCCTGCGATCTTTTCGATGTGGTACGTCATCTCTGATGTAAAGTCATCTAGCCAGAAGCCTGGGCTCTGATCTACAAGTTTATTGAAATTTTGAGGCCCCAGAAAAGTACTGACCACTACTTCTCAGACGCCAATAGCTGTTCCCACGAATATTAACAAATTCCGTACGCAACCCTGGAATTTCCGGGAGCAGAAACTACAAAACCTGGCAAAAAGAGATGGGTGATCACTGAACGGGGCGTGAAATAATGATAAGGGTCAAGGGAATTTAGAATTCTAGGCCGAAATATTCTTAATTATGCTTTCAAAAATCAGGTTGTGTACAAAAAAGTAAAATGTACTTTAAAAATCAGTATTGCGTATTAATAAAAAGCAAGAGAATCAGCTTTGAAAAACTAAAGAAGGCTTAAAAGAGTGGCGGTCCATTCAAATCTTTAGTTCTATTTGGCTAATCGACACTCATCTGGTGACCGGATGTACGATGCATCGTCCCGATACTTTTGCGCCGTTGAACAGGATTTATCAAGCAGAATTTGGGCAGGGCCTGGAAGGCATCAGCTGTATTGGGCAGACTTTTGAGGTATCTGCCTTCACATTTAGTTGCTTACTAAATAGTGTGTAACTAGTTTTCGGCAAAAGATGCCTTATTGTTTAGAATACCGGCCCGTTACACGAATTATTCGCCTACATCTCAACACTAACCAGTATCGTTTTTCTCGGTATCACCTGGGGAGTAATTATGGCTGCCGGAATTGCGATATATCATACCTTACATGCGAGTCCGAATGCTAGCAGAAGGACCAAAATGTTGCAAAAAGAGCTTTTTCACGCGCTAGTAATCCAGGTTAGTGAAATCGAGCATGAAGGCCAAGATCAAGGCGAACGACAAAAAGACAAAAGGCCAGATAAAAACAATTAGAACAATATTTTTTAGCTAATCATTCCACTTGTCTGCAATTATATACCACTAAGCGCCGTATTTTTCACGGCGATGCTCGAATTGCCAATCAATATATCATTTGTATGCTTTGCCATTATGTTGGACCCCATCTTTGAACCGATTGCGATCATCTACCTCATCAAGTGCTACCGGTAAGCCTAACAAGTTTCAGAACGAACCCATTTTCGTCTGCTCGCCTTAAAAAACAAACGATGAAAAATGTTAAAGTATCATATTTACCTTATTTTAGAAAAGTTGCTGTCTCCTGGTTCAAATGTCGAAAACACGGTAACGTACTGCGCATCATCCACCATTCCACCGATTCAATTAAGCCACATCGACAAGTGTATCATAGCGCGGAATAAATAGTTGAATCCTATTCCGATATTACCATCAGACCGTCCAAAAATGCTTGTGGAACGACTTGTGCAACGCTGAAGTTAAACGGCTCTGCAAGGAAAATGGTAACGACACAATGATGCCACGCGGAAAATTTCGGATGGATATAATTAATCCATAGAAGTCCTCCTGTCAGGTTGACACGAATTTCACCGTATTTCTAGGTATATCAAGTACGTATCGGGAACATTATACGCACCTATGCGTATTAAACCTCTGGCAAAAGTTTATCGCGCTGCTATCGTCCGGGGCAGGGGGTGAGGGGTAAACTGGACAGCTGCCCGACCGTCATTCCTCAAGCATTTGTTCGGTATTATCGTTACTTGTTTCTGGTAATACTGTGCCAATTACATAAAAAATTTGTAATTAATGCGATACATTGCTCTAGCGCACCAATATTAATTTAATTTCGTGAGGTAATCTTTCTTTTAATTCAGGTCTTTGGTCAGCGCTAGCGGTGCAATAGAAGGACAGAACTGACCTTTGTCCACCCGCCAAATTTTGCTGCAATATAAAAAGACCGATGAGTCACCAGCCTTCCGTAAGACGTCAAGTGGCCTTTACCGCTCTCTTCAATAGCTCCGATTCGCGCCATTCGCCCAAACCTTCTCATTGTTCTTGGCGTCTTCGTTTCAAACCCAAATCTTGAAGTGCTATGTTTTTTTTTGTCTAGCTAGCTCCTTCTTTACCCTTCCGCTAACAACAATGATTTTCATACGTTTGCAAACGATTTTCTGGAATTCGAACTGTTTTCAATGTAATTTCCGGAGAAAAGTGGGCTCTGATAGGGCGCGGGCACCTCGCCAGAACAGAAAAAAAAATACCCTCTCGTGTTCCTACGTATCTATTCGTTTACCTACGTTACCAGCGTGCTTATATTGATTTTGAGACAGCACATGCTAAAAAATCCGAGTTGAAGACCCTTGAACCTTATCTACCTCGGAAAAAAGTCCAAACTCGAAATTTTGTGAATTTGGCGATTGAATTTTTTGATTGCAAAATAACAAACCCGTTTAAAATAGTTCTCATCAGAAGACTAACTGTATTTCCAATGTTTCGGAAATTGTTTTTGATACACGAGTGACGATCGGGTTGAAGACACCTGACGGGGACCGATTTCTTGCAACAGAAAATGCCTATCGATCCTTAGCTCCACCCGTACCTTCCGAACCACTCTCACGCGCTCATTTTTTGGGGATGCCCCGTGTTTAGGACCTTATTTTTCTTTACCTGTAGATTCTACTATATTTGTATTCTTCTTGCCAATACCGCGCCTGGATACGTTTTATACGGCTCTCCTACGTATTGGTACGTCGCTTATGCCCTGATCGATTGCCGGTTCGTCCCGATGTGTTTTATTGAGGCGATTTGGCCAGGGCATCTCGGGAAATTAACCGAATTTTTGTTACCATTAGCGTTTGCTTTTTTATGAAGTGCGGAGTTTTGGCAAGCACTTTGTTTTACCATTTTTGTACTTTATAGATTGCCTTTTTATAGATTTACCTCGTGTTTCTGAAACTTCGCAAATTGTAATCTGCAAATTTCGGAAACTCTCCTGGCTTCCAAACATGACAATTCCGTTCAGGTCACCTGGCGCGTTTCTGGCCCGTTTCTTGCACCATTTAATCACGGTCCTTACCATGGCATTATTTTTACGATATTCTTCTGTTTGTGGCACGACCTTCATTTCGCTGGCGTTTTCTTTTTGTTGGTGATGTTCTTGGGTATCACGCCTATATACTTCTCTAGACTGCTGCCCTACGCATCCATACGTCATTAATACCCGATCGAGGGCGCGTCATTTGGGCGTCTTGACGTCCCTATTGGCTAATGACCCGAATTATGGTATATTATTGAATTGTTATTCCGGATTATCGGCTCCTCATTTTTTAATAAATTTCCATGCCTTATAAGCTTTTCATTTTTTTAAATGATCTCCGCTTCGCAAAATTTTGATTTGGTTTATGCGGATACGGTTAGACGGGGTTAGCTAAATATGCCTAATTGGCATTTTTAAATTCTTGCGCTTTATCCTTGATCGCCTATGGATGGCCGAACGATAATGATAACGTAAGATAGCTTATGCTCTTTCACAGGATGCTTCATCAACCATTCAAGAAAAGATCATTTCATTTCCTTTCGGTCATATCCCTTTCGTTTACCCAACTTTCCGGAGACGTTTTTTTGTTGCCTTTACCTTTTTTTTTCGCATAGCTTTCTCCGCTATCCACATGTTTTGGCTTAAAATTTTAGCCTCCTTCTCAGATTAGCTTCTTAACTATCCGGCTTGCCCATTTTTATGCTTGTACCTGATTTTTTGGAGCTTTCTTTTTAGTTTCGCCGGTCTCACAGCGAAACGCAACGCAATGTACGGCCTTAGTTGGCTCACCCTGCTCATCACGGCCACCTGCGTGGTATCGCAACCACCGCCGGCACCCTATGGAAATCAAGGTGTGCCGCGTTTTGAAAAAAAAATGCAAAAATTAATATTTCGTAACCCGCACCAGTTACGCTAGGTTTCTACGACGACCGTGACGTACAAAAAGTGGCAAAATGGTAAAAGTACTTCGGATTTCCATAGCTAATTTCGGGCTTATGCTTAATTTAGACGCAGCTCTTAGTGTATTTATTTTATTTAACGCAAGGCCAGGTTCATGGATTCCACAAACACATTATATTTTTTATATTTTCAGAGGGTCCGGCTGACTTTGTGGATGCCGACCCGTACGGCGACCAGGACAATGACATGAATTTTCTGCAGAATTTCGCGATGCGAAACATGGCTGAAGTCCGCATCCAAGACGCAGGCCAAGTTCCGGAGCCGGGAATGCCAATATATGCACGTGGGTCGCGTTTGGTATCGCTATTGGATAGACCTTCACCTGGATAGCAAAAAAGGACCGTAAGCGGACAATCCTCTTCAGCCGTCTTGCTAGAATAATTAGACTTTAGCCCTCCTAACTGAATAATATATGTTTTGATAGTGTTTTTCGCAAAACCCCCAACAATTTTGGGCCACATTTATTGATGTGGTCGAAAAAAATATCTTTGGTAATATTTCACAACCATTTAAAAGTTCTTGCCTATTAATTACAAGAAATTACATATTAGTTACAGTAAATTTTTTGAAAGCATTTACTCGTTTTCTATTAAAGAAATTGGTTACTAAAAATATGAGCCAATTACAAAAGATGATGAATTAGATTTTGCCGAGAGAAGCAATAAAATTGGACCTATGCATAAATTTTCAGAGAATCTGCTTCAGCAACCAGAACCGGAAGCACCAGGTAGGTGAAAGCACGAGGTCCCATAGATATTGAGTTTTTAGTGCCGGATGATAATGGTGAATGGGTGATTCGCGACCTCGACGGTAAGTAGACGAGGCGAATGACAGCTATTAACAGAAAATGTCGTCGATTTCTGTTTCTAGGGGTTAATCCACGGCCCGACTACCAACAGCTAGGTAACGAATTTATGGAGGATCAGCAGCCAGCGGGCTCATCTCATCAGGTCTTGCCTGTAAATGTGCCGGTAATTTAAACCTCAATAATCAAAATGCTGGATCATTAGGTGAGGTGCCGCTGCCGTCCAGAGGAGCTGCCACCAGGTAGGCTCACCAGTAGTACCCCGCTTGCTATGGCCCTGCTCTCACACGGCCATCCTTACTGCGGGAAAGCATACATGTGACATTTTAGTGGAGGAGGAGCGGGATGGGACGCAATCATTGAGTTATACCTGCCAGATATGTGGAATTTCTGTAATCTTCTACAGTAAGTTTTGATTTCTATGTACAGATAGAAATGCCTGTAGTTTTCTGGACGACAATCTACCTATAAGCTTCATTTTCCTAAATTTTTCATTTTAGGCTTTGGGATCTGGCTCTGGTATGGGATGAGCCATCCAGACGACGATCCGGAACTGATATCGATTATGTCAGCCTCCGCACAAAATCGTCACGGCGAGACCGCTGATCAACCCGGTATGTCGCACTAATCGTAGGTACCGGGACTATCCAATAACCTTCATGTTAAAAACAATAAAAAGCTTAAGACGGGCAGAAAATAAATAATATTTCAGGCCCATCCCATCAGGTTCCTATTCAACCACAAACAGTACCCGCCTCTTCAGGTAAACTTTGATAACGAATCCGCTTGAAAAAATAGCAAACCTATTTTCCAACGCCTTCAAACTCATTTTAGCAACCTGGAGTCGTTTCCGGTCCACACCGACGCAGGAAATTCTCAACCGAACAGCCGTGAAAGAACTTGACGAACCGAATCTTCGCGTACGCGTGGAAGCCGAAGACGGAAGCTACCCCCTTCGAACTTCATGGCTATGTGAGATGTGGAAGTGAGTGATGAGAAATGAGTATCTCTGAGCCGCTTTATTTTTTTGGATAATTTAGCGACAACCCATCCCCTCTCCGACCATAAGGCTTCTCTTCTAGAAAATCTTAAAGAGAAGGACGGCATAAGCCAATCGATTACGCGCGGGAAGCAAAACGTCTCTGTGCCTCCTCGCTGCGCGCCCTCTTTCGCCGCTGCATCTGTTGACCCCCCTCCTAACAGGGGGGGGGGGGGGGTTCAACATGCTGTCCTTACCCCTTTAATGAGACATTTTCAGATGGGCTCTAACAAAACAGAAGCAGACCGGCCGGGAAGTAGCAGTGCCGAACGATCTACCCGTGATGCCGCCTCCTGACATCCTCTATGCACCGAAGGGCCCCGGAGCCAAAGTGAGTATTCGAAGACGGTGATGATTCTAAATATTTGAAACGCCGGGCTCAACTTCTATGTTTTAGAGAAAAATGAAAAATGAGCTCGACCTGCTTGATGTGCTCGACGAAACTGAATTCACTGTCGTCCGCAATCGCATCCTTTTGAATCCGGTAGGTCCCCAGTCTGAAGATTTGTATTTAATCTCAGGAGGGCAGCAAGGCCGACAAAGACTTGTCGGAGAAGCTTAAAGGTACACTAAAGTCTCGTTGGCTTGGTTACCGGCCGGTAACCGTCCGCGGGATAGCAAACTGGGTTACGGTAGGTGCTCGCCGCGGAGCAAAAGCGAACCCGCGACACTCGCCTGGGGCAAGCGCCATAGACCAATAGGCCATGGGATAGACGGGACAGGGGAAAGGGAAGGGGGATAAGAAGGGTCCGGGCGTTGCGCGGCAGAGGACCCGGATTTCTGGCCGGGAACTGACTTTTTGCACGAGATTTTAGTGTACCTTTAAAGCAGCTCACCGAAAGTATTCGGACGTGGTGAAACAAGCGAGGAAGCCTGCAGCTCCCGGTGAAGAAACAATCAACCTCAAGTTGCTTGACACCGCCCTCACACAAGGGCCTGGGGGAGCAGATGCACGCAATCAGGTTGGTCACCGGCCATTAATTATGATAAGCTTTCTTTCAGTTGGGTCGCCAAGTTCTGGAACCGATTTACAGGGCGGCCGCTGAATTCTGGCTTTCTTGTGCAGGGGTGGGTCTCTTCGATGTTTTGCAGGCTTTTTGCAAGGACTCTGAAGAACAGGCCAAGTATCTTACACGTTTAGTCGTCGCGTTAACAACAAACAAGGACGCGATTGTCGTGCCAAACAAGTAAACGAGAAGAGAGAAGAGAGCCGAAGAGACACCCGCGTCATTTGTGATGCCCTGTGAGTGTTTGTTATTATTGACAGGATACAACTGAATTCCAGTTATAATCCCGACCTTCAAAATCCCGACAGCCATAATCCTGACAGCCAAAATCCCGACTGGTCAAAATCCCGAAAGCCAAAACCGATAGCCAAAAAGTGATATTTCCGGTCGCTTTGCAGCCAAATTGTTTTAAAATCTGGACTCTGGCTTTCGGGGTTTTGGCTGTCGGGATTATGACTGTAAGGATTTTGAGTGTCGTGATTTTCGGGCTTTCCCGATACAACTTTCAGGACAAATGTTTAGGGATGTTATAACACAGATCGTCGATAAAAAAACACTACATGTTTTGGCCGGAAACCCTCAGTTTCAAAAACTGGTAAGCATCCACCATTCCTGTAGTAGTTTAAAAAATAAACTGGGCATATGCGTTAGTTTTTGGTAAATCGAAGGAATTCCTTATCTATTTGCAACAATTTCAGTGCACACTGGCTACTAGGCTGACATCAGAAGAGGCCAGGGAAGATGCAGCAGCTGCTCCCAGTCAAGCCAAAGCCCGGAAACGCGGCGCGAAGGCTGAGGCACTGCAAGCAGAAACGGCTGAAGACGACCTCGAGAATTTCGCCCGAACCCCCGCCCAGGTTGTTCATCAAACCCGGTCAAACTCCTGTAAAAAGTCCAAAAAATAACGGGTCGTTTTGATTCTCCTCATCACTCCTTCACATCCCGCTCAAATTAACGCTAAGTGATTCCTAAAAGTTTGTGATAACCGTTTACTTTAACAATTTTGCTTGGCCTATGTAGGGTCACCTAAAAAGCACCCCCCTTCTCGTGTCCGGTTTATAGGATTTAGATATCTACGAAAGCTCTCGCACAGTCGAGGAACACGGCTTTTTTTTTAGATTGGTTTCCAGACTTTTCCTGACTGTTTGAATTGTGCTTTTTATGACTAAAAACCGGGAAATGAGCGGATTTGTGCTGATTCATGTTTATTGCAATATTGGCACAGAAATGTCGCGTTTTTAACGAAATGTTTAGTTGCAAGAAAACGCTAAATAATTTTCGAAATAAAAACCCGCATGTTTTCTCGCCTTTTCAAGAGCTTTCGAATGGTGTAAGAACCATTCCGGTCCAAGGGTTCTCCCGACCGCTAGAGGGGGTGCTTTTTTGGGGAACCCAGTACACTTGCCGTGTTCAATTTGCTGCTTGACATTTTCCATGATTCCCTCCCCCCTGAGACGCTTTGGTCCCGCATTTTTCATTTAACATAATTTATTCAAAGTCTTACAAAAAACTTACCAGATTACAAAGCTCTTTTCTGCCTAGTCAATACCGACGCTCCCGAATTCAATCTCTTACAAGCCCCTACGCGTAAAGTACCCTCCTCACCTCACCGGTTTGCCTGGCTGGCCCAAAGCCCCGCTAATTATCTTGAGCGATCCAATAAACTTTGAGAATAAAATTGTAGTCCCAAAAATCGCATACGAATTCATCACAAACAAAATTTATAACTTTTTGATCAGCCCGCGTCTCGCTACAACGAAAGGATTCGCAATGCGTGAAAATCAAAATGCATAAATCGAACGTGTATTTATTCCCGAGAATGCTAAGGGTCAATGAGCTGTAAAAAACACCGACCAATACGGACAGGTGTAATTCGTAGAAAAACACGACAATCTGTTAGCCAAACGCCGCAATACATTCTGACGAAGACAGGTGAAACCGGTAAAGTCGATTCTGTGCGGGTCTGCCTTCATTTTGGGCACGGAACTAGGCCAGGCTGCTTCGAAAACAATGGATGAACGAATTGACATTAGTCACTATCCAGCTGTACATTCGATTTTTCGGTTATTATCAGGTGAGGTCAATTTCTTTCAGCAAAATACGGAAAGAACATAATTTTTGATGTTTGCCTTCTTTTTACGCCTCAACTCTAGTATTTCTCACAGCAATAAATGCGGTCGACAGTAATGCGGTCGATTATTTTAATAAAAAACGGTCATACGATCA